TTAAACTTCATGTATGGACTAATGTATATTCATAATATTTCATATACTGCCAAATTTATCATAATCAAATCAATAAAAGATAGATGAAAATCCGTTGAAATGTCATTTCTTGAAATTATTAATGATAGATTAATATTTGAGAGACATTGATTGAGAATCGCATTAAACATATACTATAGCAATGGATGAGCATCGATGAAACTAGTGTCAGTCGTTATACCTCTTACCATACTTATCTCCTGTTCATTCTGGCTATTACATATCTGTTAGCGAAACGAAACAAATGGTCAAAACTAATAGAAAGAGAAATGGATGTGTTGGAACTAATTGATTGTATATGTTTACTATGTGTAATATGTACATTTTTTCATTGAAATATAACAGTAAAATGAACATTACAGTTCAATAAAATATGAACATCATTAATATTTTACTTATTCATTTCTGAAAGAATCACTGGCAATGTAAGCTTATTTTAAAAGTATTATGCTACAAGAACAAAAGACAACCTTGCTAACATTTACTGTTGTTGAAAAGAAAGATTATTAACTTGGCAGCTTCAAAAAAAAAAAAAAAAAAGGAAAAAATGATTTAAAGCTATTGGCAGTAGAAAAAAAAGAAAACAATAAAGACGAAAGGCAGGGAAAAAGACAAGGGCGAATAGTTAAACAAGTGATAAAAGGAAGGATACGTCAGTTATATTAAGGAAAAGATATGAAAGAAAGAATTAAATAACATGAAATTGAAAGAGCAAGCAGAATATTGCTGAATTTAAACATGAGAAAGCAAAAAAAAGAAAAAACGAATGAATTCAACAACAACTACCTGACAGGTAATGTTTGGAAAGGAGAGGGAAAGTTTTTTTCTTTTTTCTTAAAGATTCATCATTCAACAATGATAATTATTATAACCATTTCTATCTATTCCGTTTTCGTTTTTTTTTTTTTAAATAATACTGATAACGACCCATTAATCTTTCCCAGAGGAATAACCTTCTATTCAGCGAAATAAACGATGAAAGATTTCAATTAATCGTGGGAAAAAAAATTGCTATTGCATATCTTTTAAGGAGAAAAGTGTAAACTGCCCAGTGTATGCATTTGGAGGTGCAACAGTTAAGTAACCGAAAGGAGCAAAATCGGCCTAAGGTGACATAATAATTGTTACATTGATGGATGAAAGATTTGTCGTAAAACTGGAAATATAATTCAGGATGTCATGTCATGAGGAATTTTTTTTTTTTAAAGCAAACTATAGAAGTGTCAACGATTCCAGTGATATATCATTAGCTGTGGAAGTTCTACAAACAAAATGTGACTAAGTGTGCATGAAATCTTTCCATCAACGTTATCGTCTTTTCTACCATTTCCTTTCCCTTCTTCTACGAAAAGAAAAAGAAAGAGAGAGAGAAAAAGAAAAGAAAAATTAATGAAAAAGAAAGATGAATCACGGTTGGCTGATATCAAGCATGAGCGGAACCATGGAAGATATTAGCAATGAAATTAATCTTAAAAAATATAAACAATAAAAATAATTCCAAAAGATGTCAGCGATGAAATTTCATCGATAATTTCAAAATTAAAAGAGAATGAAATGAAATTTCACTACAAAGTACCACATCAGAATATACTTTTACAAGTTAAGCATCATTCTTAGCTTATCAACATATTATTCGTTTAATAAGCGAGCAATAATTATAACACATAATGTAAGCCAATATAAGGCGAACAGATGGAAGAGAGAGAGAAGTGTATGACAGTTAGATGAAGGCTGAAAATGGCAGCTACACTGAATCAACCGCTATGGTCTCGAGTATAAGTGAAGTTATGATGGAGAGCGATGACAGTATTTATCATCTACCAACAAATCGAATCAAAATGTATACAGCGCACGATAACTGACAACGTTTACACAATTTCTGACACCTTTCTTCGACCGAAAGCGTCCAAAAGGATGTAGCGGACACCATCGAGGCATCTCTCTCATCCGATATATGTATGTGTGCATGTGTGTGTGTGTGTGCATGTGTGTGTATGTGCGTGTGTGTATGTTTGTCTGTAAAGTGTTTCCCTGTAGATGCCAGAAAGGAAGTGGACAATGTTAGGAAGAGGCAACAGAGAGGATACTCAAGTGATGGATACCTTCAATGATTGTAATTAGCCGTAAAAGTGGGACATAACAAAAGGAAAAAGAAAATACACGGCGGTTGGCACTCTCTTTGCTGTATATAATCTCATCGAAACTGAAACAATGAATAGGGTGTAAAGAATACATCCTAAATGACCTGAATGACCAACGGGAAAAGGAGGGAAGAAACGGAAAGAGTGAAATGATTCCTAAACGGAAGCTAGAAAGTATGACAATGTCTCTCATTCGCCTTATCTTCTTCCTCTACTCGTTATCTAGCGAGCCAACGATACCTGTACGAAGCAACGATAAAGAGATTCAGTGAGGTGAAATAATCTTGCAAGGTCAAACTGATATTGGTATAGACTGCTGTTGAAACATGTGATACGGACAGGGAGAGAAGGTGGAGAAAGATCCATCCTCTCACAACACAGCTATATTTAAAAAGGGTCAACAACAACCCAACGAAACAGAGGTGGAAGACGCTAATTTGCGTTCGGTAAAGAAGGAAATTGATGTAGAGGGAATGAGGAGAAGAGTAATTTACCACATGTTTCGCTACCTTCAACGTATGGTACTTATGAATGTGGCGATGCACCTTCCTATTGCTACCGCCGAATGGACCGAATGGTCAACGTTGACCAGGTCGTCAAGTAATTTGACACCCATCATAAATGCTCATTTATCGTCATGTAAATAGCCAAGCAATACACAAATTATCTCCGCAATCACCAGTTAGTGCCAAATGCCTGCCTGGTCATTTCTACTTATGATGCTGGAAATCAAACTATCTATACCCACACATCATCATCAGATTTCCGTCGCATAAATAACTCATCAATCAATCCAGCATTTTACATTATGGGGAATGAAAAGAATAATGCCTCATAACCGATTATTAGTGGGATAAAAGGTCCATTCGAAACATCATTTCACTAGAGCATGCAAACCGATCCTTATCCTTCTCAACGATCTCGAATTTCATACAAACTGTAGCACCTTTTGCACCTGCTTATTGCGAATATAATTAATTGAAGTTACTGAATAATCAAAAACGAAATGAATGAAGCATTTGAAATTTGTATCTTTGATTTATAGGTTGTTAAGCTGTAAATGAATGGCATATTGCAACTGTCATTGATGTGACTATACTAAATAACCGCATGGACTGACCTCTAACCCTTTCTCTTCCTCTGTCACAGACTGCTATTTAATAGGTGACTTCAAAAGATTGTCCAATACTGAATGCCACTGATACAAGTAAACATCTGCATAGTATTAAATCATGCCACGTTCGATTTTTCTAATCTCTCTCTCTCTCTCTCTCTCTCTCTCTCTCTTTCCCTCACAGTAACTTCACAAGCCTCTTAACGTATGAATATAATAACTTTGTTTGAATAATGCTTCTTTTTTTTTTTCTTGGTGTGAATGTTGGTATTCGGCACAATCTGCATAACAATTATCTATTTGCAAGGAATTTGTACAAATGTATGGTGAAATGGACCAAGAGACCAGCATGTTTTCGAATGTTTACATTTTGATGAGTAATTTTCCTGAATCTTCTTAAACCTATCATCATCTTTTCACATCCTCTTTCCATAATTATTCAAGTTTTTCTTTTCACCTAATTTATGCAGCAAAAACAAGTTTGGAGTTCGTGTACTTAGTATGACAATTTCAATTTCCAAAAACTTCAATTACACTTTTTTTGAATTCCACCAAAATGAAGATAAGAATGCTACAAAATTCTACAAATATTGTGTTTTCTGAAAAAATCACTGTGACCTTGTAAGTCTAAATGAGACATTTGAAGAACATAGCTACAGCATTGAATAAACTTAACACAGTCACTCGAGTCTGCACAAACCTTTTAAAGATTTCAGCTTAGCGCTTCAACGTTTCTTTCGTTATGTCCTTTCCCTTAGTGATTAGTGATAGTATTATTGAGTCTAAGTCTAGTGCTCGTAAAACTAGCCCAACCTAACATATGAAATGACACTGTAAAATTCAGCGTTGAGATCCTATAGAGTTTAAGCTGCCCTTCTAACCAAAAATGAAGTGAAAAGTAGTCAAATGGTTGATTTCTATTAGTTAATGATACACATCTCACAAAACGAAGAATTAATGAATTATCCTGCACTATGGATGACAAGTAGCATTATGCAGTTCCCGTTGAATCGATTTCTGCAACTTGGATAAACCGTGCATTAGCTATGTTTGCTAATTAAAGAGTCAGTACTAGCATTCATAAACGGAAGTGATAGTTTTCATAGTCTGCTGACTACTCATCAAGCAAACAACCGTTAACACCATTGCTTGAATGAATGGAACAATCTCCTCGTTAGCAATTCCAATAAGAAACTAAAAATTATTTCCTTACATACATCTGCATTTAATGAATTTTTGTTCTATGAAAATAAGTTTAATTCCGCATTATATATATATACATATATACAATGTATATATAAAGGTTTGAGGAATTTAATAAAATCTTAACTGGTAGAGACTGATGACTTCTTTCGTGCTATTCAGAACACATGACTTCAAAACACTTTTTCAAAAAATTTAATACGTATAAATTTTGTCACTGCTAAAAGATATTCGTTGTGGGAAAAGAAATAAGCTCAGAATGATGGAGAAATTCAGGTCATTAACGGTCAACAAGGAATTAAAATTAAATCACAACAAAAGCAAATATATCATTTCTGAGACAGCAATACGGAATCTCAGATTATCCTTAATGACGCAATTAGAGAGATATATTGCCACATAACAATTTATAAACAGTCCTTACTGATTCATTAAATAAAATTATTACACAATGACCGTATTTTGCAAATAATGACATCAGCTCATTGACTCTTTCTTCATTTCTCAATAATGAAAAATCAGAACGATGTGACAAATAACCCTGAACTTTGGTGATTGGAAAAACAAACTATGAGAAAAACCAAAGTTTATCTTCTTTCCGCACTGATCAGACAACCACATGAAAATTTATCGTTATCACAACAATGTACTGATGACCATCAACTTCACGAAACAGACAGCATGCAGCACTCCGGAAGTAAGCAGCAGAAGTACAACGCATATATCTACTTTTCTATTAATCGGATTTTCAAACTTATATATTTCTTCAGAATTTTCAAGATGACATGTTTGATACTTTTATCCCTATAATTCGAAAATATATATATTAAAGGCTTTTAACAAGGCCGTGAAAAACAGGAATGTCATATCTGTACAGAAAAAAATGCTCGGAAAAGATGATGAAATTCAAATTGCCATTAAATACGCGACACTGCAGCTGCAATATTACAGCCGATAAAAATAACCTAACAACATTCCAGTCAAGCCCAGCAGACATCAAACATCTGTGATAATAATACGATTAATAAATCTATAAAAGAACCCAATATAAGAACGAAACTAAAAATTTGCCATAACGAAAAAAGTACTACCAGATGTAATGATATGCACGAAATGTGGAAGTTTTTTCATTTCATACAAGAAAATCGATTCTAATTTCCATTAAGCATGAAACGCTTATTAATAAACTTACAGATGGAATTTGTAAAAATTTTGCTGTGAACGAAAACTCAAATTAGATTGTAAAATCATTAGAGTGATCCGCTATAGTACTGATAACACTGATCCGCTATAGTATTGATAATCACTGAAACAGTTATTCCTCACACCTTTCTGTGTCTTATAATGAAGATCGTAAGGTAAAGTGGTCCTTATGATAGCTGTGAAGAATGAGTAATCGATGTGCTAATAGATAACGACTAAATGAGTCGAAGATAAAACATACAGTTAGAGATAGCCGAATTAATACTGCTCCAAGTATTACTAGTAGTAGAAATAATGAAAAAAGATGTTAAGATTCAAGGAGGAAGAGGAAATGGCCACAGGTAGAGAGAATTTTGTCATGTACAACTACTAATATCATTTAGGGAATGGATGGTTGCACTGTTTTGAAACTAAAGAACTACCGTCCAACAAATATTGTATCAAATCTATTTGCTAGCTACCGTAGTGAAACTTCCGTAGAAATAGGAAAAATCTATGCAAATTATTGCTTGTTTGAGTCTTTCGTTTCCATATTAAAATCTCCCAGAAAGACATAACTACCAGGTAAGTCCACCCCAATTATTTAATGCGCTGTATTTTAAACCAATAATAATGTGCTCTTCTATCAAATATAACCGCATATCGGCTTGCTCAATGAAATTTACGATTTGAGCCAACAAACTGTTTCGTCTAATCAAAAATATCGTTCTTTTTTAAATAAGAAAAATTAGATTCAAATTGTCTGTTGTTAGATTAAAGTGATACCAAAATCAATGGCTTATACAATTTTCAGAAAACCTAGTCCTGATTTATCTTATTCTCAGTATGTCTAAGAAAGAGACATGCATAACGGTTTAAGATTAAAAAAGGCAATGTTCAAAAAATTAAGATGATGTGGGTGGCTCCAAATTTATCCAAAAAATATCCATCTGTTGCGAAAGCAATTACTGCTTCACAGACCGTACTACATTAGCTGCCACAACTTACAATATGATATACAGGAGAATGAATTTCCCTACTTATCGTTATGCAAAACTCACTTTTACTCGTTACTTTTAGCGCAGCTTTGGTCAGACTACTTCCGGCTAGGTTCATTGCAGCACAAACGTAATTGCCTTCGTCAGCAGGTCTTACATCCGCAACAGTAAGATCACCATCAAAAGTCACCTTTATTCTTCCATCTGAAGATATGTGGCCCGGAAAGAATATCTCCTAAAATCAAAATCAGAAGTGCATTTTGAATCTTTAAATTTCAAGATGCACTTTATTTCATTATATATATATATCAACCTATTACGATGAGAATCAATCCAGAATAAAAGGTCATCAATTAAAAGCGAAAAACCACTGATTACCTTTACATTATTTCATATCCTTTCTAACAAAACACCGATTAACTTTGTATGAATGAAAAAAGCATTAAACCTGTTGGCCTTCTCTTGACCAAAACAATGCTGGTTGCGGTTGGCCTTCTGCCTCACAACGGAATTTTGCAACAGAACCAGAATCAACAAGTACATCACGAGGAGTTTTTGTAAAAGATGGCGCAGCATGTACACTTAACAGAGCTGATGTTTCGATGCTTCCAGCAGGGTTTTTCGCCTGACAGATATATTCCCCAGCGTCATTTGGCTGAACTCTAAAAAAAAAAAAAAGAAAAAAACACAAAAAGAATGAGAGCTTCGCATTATATGAAGTAACGTGAGGTTTATTCATGCAACTACGGGAATAAGATGGAAAGACAACGATTTAATACGACTACAAGATGTAATATCCTTTCTAATAGAAGTTTTACTCACTTATCAATGCGCAAGCCACGATTGTCTGATGCGATGTAAGCTCGACCAACGGGCATTTGCTGATTTCTTTTCTTCCATGATATTGAAGGCATCGGATCACCAGAAACACGGCAGTCGAACAGTACCGACGACCCTACTTCGACCGTTAAATTTTGTGGCTTTTGCTGAAATATAATACCATTTATTGTAGAGAACAAAGTTCCTTTATTGCCTGTTAGATGAAGAGAGATTTAATCTAAAAAAATGAATTCTTTTAGATTACCAATGGAAGGGAGACTCATGCTACCCGTTCTCAATGCATTTCTTTCTCGGTGCCATTAAAACAGCTAAAACACGCTAGCAATACTTATTTTCTCTTCAGGAAGAATTTTACATCTAACAGTTTCTGTCATCACTACGATGCGCACCATCTCGTCAAGAGTATGCCAAGTGCTTTTTATTCATTCCTTGAGATATCACTTGGTAACGTTTTTTAATTACTTGACTATTAGCGAGACAAACAAAGTATTCAGCCACTTGGAATAACTTCCATAATTGTGATTAACACGGTATAAACGTACCAAAAAATAAGGTTTTTCATATACAGATAAGCGCGCTGGATTTGATACCCTTTCGCCAACCATATTTGTTGCCACGCACTGATAAAAACCAGCATCAGATCGCTGCACCTGAAGATATAAAAATTACGCAAGTATTCCTTCTTTCGTAATTCACTGGAATATTCATTCAACTTCCTGATGCTAGCTATACTATGATTAAAAAAATGCTAGCTATACTATGATTCTAAATGCTAGCTATACTATGATGCTAGCTATACTATGATTAAAAAAATGACGGTTTCCTTTTCCTGCTATTTGTTCAAAAAATAGTGCACTCATTTCATATGTGAAACAATAAAAGGATTTCGAATCTAGTGGTCACCTTTTCGATGACGAGATTACCACTTGGGTGTAGCACAATACCATCCTCATCCTGAGGACGCAAGTCGCGTTCATCTTTACGCCAGGAGACAACTGGTTCTGGAAAGCCACGTGGCGGAGAACATTCTAAGACCGCTCTGTTACCAATCACTGCCTGTAGAAAGACATATACTATTCTGTACTTGCAATGCAGTCACTTTATCAAGAGACACATATCTTCAAAATTATTTTCTACGAATGACCACTTACGTATTAACATCAGGCAGTTTAAACAGACAACTCCCAACTATATATTTTTTAAAAAATAAATTGTCGAATTTAACAATATGAGGCGTCTCAGATGACCTTCATAACCACAGCAAGTCTCGAAACATAGTTAGGGTGTATCGATCCTAACGAAGATTTTCAAAATTTTTCAAAATACCTGTATTGGCCTCGGCCTTATCCTGAAATCATCCCGCAGCATGGCAATCTTGAGTGATGCCTCTCTTGACCACACTTCACCGTACTTATTTTTCGCAACACAGTAATATGTCCCTGAATCTGCATCTTTCCCTTTACCTGAAAAGGAATAAATCAAAAGATTCAGAATCTGTTAAACTGATTCTTAAAAAGGTCATTCTTCTAACTGAAGAAGCTATTGCATACAATCTTAGCAAACATTTCCACATCATTCCCATTGCATAACAGCAATGCTAGCTATACTATGATTTAAAAAATGACGGTCAAGATGATAACCCTCATGTCACATTTTGAGGTCCGGAACACTGCCTACAAGACTAACGCAGACCAAAGCAACCACTATTAAACAAGTGGAACTGGAACAATTCAAGTACATATTCTGTTAAAGTATAATGGAATTATTTGGGTGGTTTATTACAATGAGTTTCTTACTGTTTCTACAACTACATACCGAATACAGGCAAATAATCTTCTCTATTCGCTATACACTGTCCATTAAACTATTGAGGCTTTTCAAATTTCCAAAACGATTTAATCGAAATATGTATAAGCAATAATCAGCATATGTTTTACGAAGAATACAAAAGTCTACAAACTTACCATTATTAACTCGAAGTAAAAATAAAGCACCGGTATGAAGTACCAAACGATGTGAATTCTTTTCTTCATTATTTGTAATCACCGGTTCTCCATCCTTGAACCATGTAATTTGGAGGTCCGGACCTTTGGCTGCACAATTCAGTGTTGCCGGTTCACCTTTTGCAACAATTACATCAAGCGGATGTTCTGTTATTACTGGCATTCCATCTTCTACAAAAAAAAAAAAGAAAAACAAAATAAGGGATCTAAAGATAGAACATAGAGCTGAAACATTTATGTTAAAAAAAAGTTAAATTTATTTCTGTAAAAGTGATAATTCCATGTATTGTGGAATGATAATTTTCTAAAAATTACCACTTTTTTTTTAAAATAAATTCAAAATAAAGAATACGCTCATGATAGTTAATGTTATTGTGAAGAAGTACTTGATAATGGAAGCAAATCTAAGGTAATTTTGGAAACCACATTTCGAAAAAGAGAAAAAAGAAAAATAGTAATGAAGATGAAAAAGAACATACAATCAAGAAAAAGAAACAATTGCTTTATTTTGAATGATACGCACTTTTCTTTTTTAATAAAACTGATTTAAAATAAATACAAACATTTATAGGCAATTCATGCCTTCTTTTTTTTTCTCTCTCTTTCTAATATAAGAGTGGTTTTAATAAGCAAAGATTTAAGCATAAATTTCGAATAAAACTTCAATTTCCTCTTGTATGAAATCAGTTCCGAAAATATTTTCAATGAATGCAAAATTAGGCAGACAGGAAGTAAGAGATAAAATTATTTTATTGCCTTTTTTTTCAAATGATTCCCTTGTTGTCCTGATAGACAAAATGTAATGGACAATCGTTTTAAGACATAAAGTTGAATGCAATCACATTATCGTCGAACTAAAAACCAGTCTTCTTAGTGCAGCAAGGTCACTGGAATTATCCCACTTGTAAGTACCACTCTCTCTCTTTTTTTTCTCGCCGTCTCTTTTCCTTTATTTTTTCTAAAGGAAGCAATGATTTAATAAGCTAATTTATTTGAAAATACTTAACAATATCCGTAACCATAAGTTGTTAATTATAGCATATATTAATAGCTATCCTAAGTTACTACTCTAAAGCACCATTGACAATCTAATTAGTTGATAGATTTGAAATTAATGACTAAACAGGTGGTATCGTGATTATTGTTATTCGGGAAACTGATACTTACCCGTATTTGATACATATATACTGTGTCTAATTGTTCACTTAGATGATAATCCTGAATATAACATTAAGAAATATGAACGATCAATGACAGAATTACCTTTTCGTACCGTATTTTCTTATCGAAATATATCAAATAATTCTTTTCTATACTATCCTAATCCTTAGTATTACTTCATTTTAACTTTATTTTTTTTAAGAAAAGAAACAGATCAGCTTTTTCTACATTTA